AGGTGGTGGATCGGCGGTTTCCAGCCCGATCGCGCCAGTTGTCGAAGAAGAATCGAGCCTGCCACCACCTCCGAGACTGAATCCTCCTCCGCCATCGGTTACGACCACGAATTCGACCGCCGAAGATATCAGACTGAGGCTCAGCGTGCTTTCCGAAGACGCTCGAAAACGGCTGGCTAGTTTCACCGAAGATATCGAGGTAAGATCCCTTCGAAATGACATCACGTTAATTAAGATTCAAAGTATATATTTGCTACGTTTAAATGTTACAGGTTGCTAGAAGCTTGCGAGATCGACATGCCACCCCGAGGCCAAATCAGACGCGAGAGTCGAGTCCCAAAGACACCGACGAGGAATCCAGCATGCTGGTGGTCAAGGAAGAGGATTGCCAACCGAGGTCGTCGTCTTCTTCAACGTCTTCGATCAGAAGACGAGAATCCGTCTGCAGAAGAGACTCGGAGGACTCCCAGAGGCGGTCCAACTCTGACGACCCGCCATCCGAGAAGAAGTTGAAACTGGACGACGAAGCAGCACCAAGACTGAGACTCAATGCTAGTCTGGCGACCGATCCTGCTCTTCGGCCTGCCGCCGTAGCCGCGCTCACTGTTAAACCGGAAAATACCTCGCCGCCGAATCCTGTGCCACCTTTACCAGCTGGTCTTCAAAATGGTAAACTTACTCCAAATAGCATAACGCGTTTCTGTTTTTACGCGAAGCTAACGTAACGTATTCGAATGTTGCAGCAATAGCATCGGGACGACTGTTCGTGTTACCGACCGACGGTAAAGAAACGATCACCGTAGAGCCTGCCAGACCAGCGGCACTGATATGTCCGCCCTGCGGCATCCGCTTCAGCTCAGCGAGCACTCTCGAAGCTCATCGCACCTTCTACTGCGCCCATCGGCCCCGGCTCGAGGAAGAGACGACGAACGAGGAGGATGAGGAGAAGTCGAGCAAGTTCGAAGCGAGGAAAGCGTACGCCTGTCCTCATTGTTCGTACAGCGCGGACAAGAAGGTGTCGTTGAATAGACACATGAGGATGCACGCAGCCTCTCCAGCGCCGCCCACGGTACCGACCGCGCCGACCACCGCCACAACTCCAGGAACCGGAGCGGCA